AATAGGAATAGGAATAGGAATAGGAATAGGAATAGGAATAGGAATAGGAATAGGAATAAGAATAGGAATAGGAATAGAATACTTTATTTAGCCAAGTGTGAATAGACACACAATGAATTTGTCCCCAGTGCAGTAATGCAGGCCAGTTAGTCTCCAGTGAAAACTGCAAGCCGAGATTTGAAGATGGGCATATTTACATCTCAACTTAGCAATTAATTCCACAAGCCTTCAAGTTCACATCGTCCTAAGCTGGGCTTTTCCACTTGACTTTGCTGATTAAGTCACCATCGGCTGGCTGCGTAGGTCATGCTTGGCTATAAATCATGGCTTGCCAAACACAAAACGGTTGAGTTCACACCATTCAGCTTGGGGTATCCCAGCCCTGAGCTTTCTAAGCAGGCGGCATTTTAGCAACAGGGGGGAAGAAGGATACTACGGATGGGTTCTGCTAGTGCCAAGTGGTTTACACGCCCCTCTTGGTTGTGCAAACAACACATGCAGCGTAATTCTATTAGAAGGAGCTTTTGTTTACGGGAAGCTGAGGTCTTTCTCTCTGCGTTTTGACCTTCTGCCGGCAATTATCCGAGAAAGGCAGCTCCGGGCAATCTGTTCAGATCCTGAGCCTACATTACTGTTGGAATGAGGCCAAGTCTACTTCCCAGCATCAGGGATTTTTACCAGAGGTCACCCCCCTGCAAATGAGCTGTGGGGGGGGGGGAAGGCAGAGGAGGGATGATGTGATCTCGAAGGCACTCTTCCCAGGATCCTGTGGCACAGTGGCTAGAATGCTGTACTGCAGGCTAACTCTGCCAACTGTCAGCAGTTCGGTCCTGACCAGCTCAAGGTGAAGAAGTCCTGAGATGGCCCAATTGTCCACTTACCAGTTTCTTCATCACAGAGATGTTCGCACGCATCCGTTGTTCTCTGCCCACAAAGATCACGGACCCATGGTGAGGTGGCATTGATTTGATAGTACAGGGAGAGCTTTGCAGGATTCAGCCAGTCGGAGATGTCCAAGTAGCTGCCCTCACTCACAACAAAACTGCTTCCTACAAGACAAAGAAAGAAAGTAAGCCAGAAAAAAGATGGACAGAGTGGAGCATTGGGCCCTGTCTAACAAAATAAAATGCAATGTAGAGAAAAGTAAAGTCTTACACTTAGAAAAACTAAAAGCCACATATAGAGACTGGGTGAAATCAGGTTTAATAGCAGTAACTGTGAGAGGGATCTTGGAGTCTTAGTGGACAACCAGCTAAATATGAGCCAGCAGTGTGCAGTGGCAGCCAAAAAAGCCAATGCAATCCTAAATTGCATTAACAGAGGGATACAATCAAGATCAAGTGAGATACTAATGCCACTCTATAAAGCCCTAAGTAAGACCATACCTAGTAGTACTGCCTCCAGTTTTGGTCACCACACTATAAGAAATATGTTGAGACTCTAGAAAAAGTGCAGAGAAGAGCAAGCAGGATGAATGACTGGAGACTAAAACATATG